AGTTGCGTAACTTTTCCGGTTGTTATGAGTTTTCAAAAAAAAAAATAACTTTTATATTATTAATACGCAAAACTAGAAATGTGTGGTTGTGCCATCTCTTGTCTGATTTTCTTATAAAATTATTTTTATATTTTTAATTACTATACAATGGCAAAATACTTAATTTTGAGAGTAGGCGTGAATTTTACAAAAGACTGTAAATGTTAATAACGAATAAAACCTCCATTAGGCCTACTCTTCTCGAGATACGTAGTCCTCATTCTCTCGATCTTTCTCTACCAAAATTTGTCTCTCATATACAAGCCACCGTATCAAATTTCGTTTCTTAATCCTTACCCCATTCTCAGATATTAAGCGAAATAGACACCAACACAAACACACACACACACAAACATACGTACGTATTTACCAAATTTTGTTGCTATTTTCGTATGATATTTTTGGATTAAGAAGGACACAAAACGTGGAGATTTTCAAAAAATTCGGATGGTCAAATTTGACACTATTCCCATACTTTCCCTTGTTATTATTATTCAGGTATGGAAGGCGATGTTCGAACCATTTACTTCGATTGACACAATATCCTGTGTACCATATCCAACACGTCCGAAAAGTAGAGGATTCGTTTCAATCAGATCCAGCGATCCTCATGACGATCCTGTTATTGATTTAAATTTTTTTTCACATCCTTACGACTTAAAAGTTATCGTTGAAGGTAAGTAATGATAATTATAAATTTTGTGACGAAGATTAAATCGTTTGAGCTTAATAAATAATTATATATAGGTTTCAAATATTGTCTAAGAATGGCATCCACGAAAGCCATGAGAAAATTTGGAGTTTATCCTCTTCCAGTGAATGTACCCGGTTGCGAACATTATGAGAGATTCAGTGACGAATATTTCGCTTGTCTAGTAACAACACTACCATTTACAATATACCATTATTGTGGAACATGTAAAATGGGAAGTTATGCTGATCCTACGACTGTGGTTGATCCAACGCTGAAGTAAGTCTTTGATTATTCTTATGAATATAAGTAATGTTCACGAATGAGTAACTATTATGATAACAATGACTTATAGAAATGTAGGAATTTTTCGAGTTAAGCATTAAATTGGTGCTTATCTTTCTTTATCTTACAGAGTTAAAGGTGTAGAAGGGCTAAGAGTTGCAGATGCTTCGATAATGCCTGTTGTTATAAGTGGACACTTAAACATTCCAACTATGATGATTGGGGAGAAAGCTTCCGATATGATTCTTTATGATTTACTTCATAAACATAAACACAAATAAAAAAAAGACTACTTTGAAAATAATACTTGACCTTTGTTTATAACTAAGTAGTCGTAACGTTAAAGAGTGTAACACTACTTTATACTGTTAACAGTATTGTATTTAGGTTATTGATTTTGTTGCGCCTTTTTTTATGATTAAAATTTTATTTATATACTGTATAATAAATACTCAAATATTTCTTTATTATTTACATTACAAATTCCGTACGTATGTCAAGTATATCGTGTATATCATACATGCTAGAAGCAAGAAAAAAATAATAATAATAATAATTAAAAAAAGCTGAAATATGAACTGGTATTATAGATTTTATATGATGAAAAACAGTATTATTTCTCACACACGTTATATAATTAGGAAGATTATCAACTTCATCACCTGAAATTAAAAGAATTTAACGCTTAATAATCTTTAAATTCGTATAAATTATATCATTATCGGTAATGGAAACGCCCTTATCTTAATGATAATTTTATCATTAGCATATATTACAGTAATACAAAAATATATAATAAACAAAATGACGACCTGTTTAAAATTCTATTAATTGTACACTCGATCATTATCAATTTTTATGAGTGAAGAATGTCGTTATATCAAGAGTTTATCTCGATATAACGATGTATCTAAGCTTGAATTTAAATGTTAGTAATAAGGCCAAAATATAGTAAGAATTTAATAGGGATTAGTAATTTTAAAACATTTCTTAAGTAAAAATTTAATTAGTTTTATAGAAAATAATTCCAGTTAATTAGATTAATGACCTGTGGATATAGGAACACGTTCATTATTTACATTTTTTGTACGGTAATTTACATTCTTCACAATAATTGCTCCAGGCATTTCTATAAAAGATAAATATCTAGTGATGTAATTACAGAAGAAAAATATTTTCTTTTCTCGTCTGTTTACTAGCGATAATTATAAACTTAGAAGATAAGGAAATAAAACAATAAGTAAAAGACTGAACTGTAAATATTATTTAAATAACCCTCATAGACAAACCTCACAACAGGAAATTATGTGTAAATTGTTTTACACAGTATTATTCACATGTCTTTTAATATATGTATACGTATGTATATATAAATTAATATTTTTTAAATATATATTTGTATACCATGTTCATGTAAATATTAATATAAGAAGATTGATAAATTAATCGCTGTCTTTTATGGTTCATATAACAGTACATTTTACATAGAATTTACACTTATCTAATTGTGACATTATCACAATGCCGGACTGCCAAGTCAGACCACGACACTTCTAACTCTTGACCCTCTGTACCTTTAACTATAAATTTAATAGCATCATTTCCTATAACAGACAAATTTCCTTGCAAAAACACTGGAGTTATTAAGCGTCATGAAGGAAATCTTATCTCCGCACACATTGACATCTAGACATACAGAAAAAGACACCCCTTTTTTCATTTCTCGACGTTTCAAAGTGCCCTAAGTCCAAAAATGTAAGTCTTGGGGGTCACTTTTTTGAACGAAACCCATACTTTCCTTTTGTTATAAACTTATATAACAGCTGGAAAACTAATATTTGTTTATAATACAAGTTTTTGCATCGTAGACAGTAGTATTTTTTCAACCATTGTTCTTTCAACCGGTGTAACAAGTTCACATACTTGACACTCCTGATACACTTTAATTCATTGAAACATTAAATAAATTATTGAATGTCATTTCTAGATATTTGTTTCGACATTCTGGAGTATCTTCTATCAATCTACTCTTGAATTTAACGTAGTTCCGTATTTTTTAATTTACACATAGGTACCTTCTTAGTATTCGGATGAATATTTAAGTACATACTGTTGACATTTTAATGTTACGCAATTTTGCCTAAGGCTCAAGTTGTGTAACTAAGCTCGTACTTATTGATAATCTGTCAATCTGTATATTTTAATAGAACAGATACATCTTTTTTTGTCCTATTTTCAGTTCCTTGCCGTTAATAAATTACATTTTAAATAAGTATCACAGAATTAAATATGAGGTATTATGTAAGCTATATATATATGTGTGTGTGTGTGTGTGTGTGTGAAGACTGTTTCACTTCTATCATTATCGAGTACAGTACAACATGTTGGATATAAAATATATTCTTTTAGTTTTGTTTCTTCAGCTTTGTATTATTTGTGCAGAGCATAAAAATGTATTCGATTATATTATAGGTAGGTCTTTTATGATTTTATTTATAAATATTTTTCTGTATATAATTGGGATGTATTTGTACTTTTAATATTAGCGTACATGTTGTTTATATGAGATAATGATGTTTCCTAGACCTACGTAATCTCAATAAAAGATTGGTTCTCCCGTCGTTGTTATTATAGTGTTAACTTTTCGGGTTAGGTTTCGAGTAAGTTTTGATGTATTTTTGATATAATGTAGTATAAAGAACAGCTGATGAACACCTGCCGTCGTTTAATATGCAGTGGTTCTTTGTCTCCATTAAACGAAGGCAAAAGTTGGCCAGTGCAAAATATCAATAGCTTGCAGCAAGAGCAGCACGACCATCACAAACAAGAGCAAATATATCACTGGCCCCACACCATAAGAAAGTCGTTAGTCGTTAGTGATTTTTGCTATAGGACACTGTCTAGCAACACGTTTGAGACATCAATGATCCTGATGTGTCAATTTTTTGGGCATATCAAGTTACTGGCGGGTTGCAGTTACATACGTACGCTTCTACTTGGCGATAATATCGTTTACAGTCAAATACTGAACGTTTAATATGGCAACAATCTCACGAACGGAATAGCAAAGTTTGAAAGGTCCAATTATCCTTTGTGTTCAAATGCATAGAGATACTTCTCATCACGTGGCAAATGTACGATAGTGTTTGCCTAACTATCTGCTTTCCCATGGCGATTCTTCGCCGTCTAATACAACTTTATGTTTAGCTTATATGTGCAGTACACGATATTCTCAGTATGTCTCCAGCACCTTAGCTTGAAGGTGTCGATCGTTCTAGCAATCAAAGAGCTCAAAATGTAAAAATATTTTTACAAAATTTTGTGTGTGCGGGTCTATTTTGCATTAAATCTTAGGACTGGATGAACCAAAAACTTTTGAAAACTTAGCAAAATTATTTCCCTTTATAACATGCAGAGATTTTATTTAATATTAATTTTTTTTATACAAAAATCTCTTAAAATCACAAGAATATTCCTACTTGTATCTCGTTTTTTTTTAAGATTTTGCTATTTAAAAACGAGATACACAAATCAATTAGTTAGTCTAAGGACCAAACTATTTTTTGCCTTACTTTCTTCCACTTGATGACATGCATTTCGAAAGTCGTATTCTTTTATTGACATTTTTCTTCAGTCACATTTTTAGTGTTCGTGTATTTTTTTGTTTTGATCCAATTTCTTCACTGCCTGCGATTTTTTGAATAATATTTTCTTGCATATTACTTTTCTCTTACATTACTATGATGATTATCTTCTACGTCTATATTCTCTATTTCTTTTTTAATCAATTGGCCGATTTCTACCAAAAACTATACAGCTAATCTCATTTATACAAATAAATAATTCTGGAAATTTCATGAATTGTCTTCAAGAATGACAAATATGTAACATTGCACCATAAAACACATTTTTGAAGTGTCTTCTTAACCATAAACTACACCGATTAAGATCTAAAGAGATAAAACTGCCTTAGTGTGAAGCATTAGTATTAACATTGTTTTTTTTCAGGAAATGTCTTCATAGCACATTTTATTGACGTGGACTACCAAATATTTTACAGAAACCCGTTCTGAAACTCAAATTAATTTTCATGAACAGTTAAAAATACATTACATATTCAGTTTTATAGCTTCATGGCTATTTCAGGAGGATACTTTAAAATAAGTGATATACATTGACTTTTATTACATGGTTTTATTAATTCATTAACGTATAATTTATATTATTCTATAAGATTATGTACAGAATTAACTATTTACTTTTTATAGTTGGTTCAGGATCAGCAGGATCAGTTATAGCCAATAGGCTTTCCAAACTACTATCCGTTAAAGTTCTTCTATTAGAAGCAGGAGAAATGGTTCCATTAACCTCTCAAGTTCCACTTTTTCCTCTAAATTTAGCTCTAACGAAATACAATTGGAATTTTACAAGTGTGCCTAGTAAAACCATAGCGCAAGGTCTTATAAACAGAGTGAGTAACCTGTAATAATGCATTGACAGAGTATAAATATAGGCCTACACCTTAAAATTGATTCTAATTTATTTCATTCCAGCAATATAAAATTGTAGCAGGCAAAGCTTTAGGTGGAACCACAGTTTTAAATTATAACTTATTTGTGCGTGGAAACAAGAGAGATTACGACAACTGGGCAGAACATGGTGCCACAGGCTGGGATTGGGATAATGTATTTCCTTATTTTTTAAAAATAGAAGACAATCGAGATTATTCTTATGTACGCAATGGTAAATCTTTTTTCTACATTATATAGGAATATATATATATTATAAATTTATAAAATATGAAGCAATTTAATATACAACATAGGATATCACGGTGTTGGTGGAAATGTTGTTGTTAACACGGTACCTTTCCATGCGCCAATAACTGAAGGTTACGTAAAAGCAGCCGAAGAAATTGGATACGATTTTGGAGATTTTAATGCAGAGCCTCAGACAGGTACAGTACATCGAAATAAATGGTATTTAGAATATTTTAAAAAGTATTTTATTTCATATTTATATAATATGCTTATATAATGTGTTATAGTGTTTCAACCACCTCAGGGAACCATTAATAAAGGAGCACGTTGGGGTGCTCTTCAAGCATATATATATCCCGTACGAGGTCGAAGAAATCTTTGGATCTTAACTTCAGCATTTGTTCACAAGGTAACTCATATTCTCTTATACCAGTGGATAAAAGAAGTAGAAAAGTAAACAGATTTTTATATTTATAGATATTGATTCACAACAAACGTGCTTACGGAGTTAAATTCGAGCACCACGGAAAGTTGTACGAAGCTTATGCCAAAGAAGAAGTGATCGTATCTGCTGGTGTTTTCAATTCACCTAAACTCTTAATGCTGTCAGGAATTGGACCAAAGCGTACTTTAGAGAAATTTGATGTAATAATTGTTCTATCCTAAAATTTTATTTTATTTTTTTACACAAATATAACTTATCGTATGAATTTTAGATTCATGTTGTAGCAGATTTACCAGTTGGGAGTAATTTTCAAGAACAGCCATCTACAATTGGCATGACATTCGGAGCAAAAACCTTTACTTATTCTGCTGAAAGAGTCACAGTACCATATTATAATGAATTCTTAGTAAATGGCACAGGTAAGATTGAAATAAACGTGTTGCAATTAATTCTAATGTGATCTTTGCTTAATGTGGAATCGTCATGTAAAACAAGTGTGACATCAACGGATTACCATGAATTAATGTAAAATTTTCACGTGTTATTCATTATTTTATTACAGGTCCACTGACATCTCTAGGAGGAGTAGAAGCAGTTGGATTTGTAAATTCTAAATTTAACGATGAACCAGATTGGCCAGATATTGAAGTGCTATGGCTTACTTTATCAGCAGCATCTGATAAAGGCACAGTTTTAAGACACGCGTTTAACGTAAACGAAGAAGTAAGTTTAATTTAGATTGCATTATACTCGTAAAATATTTGAATATATATAAATGAATAAATGATTTATCAGGCTTTTTAATTATGTTTGTAACAATATAAGATATAATAGAAAAGTATTCAGGCAATATGTTCTGTCAGCACTTAATTATGTAGCAGAAGCATTAACTGTAACAATGGGAAGTGTCCATGCTTCTGTTCCATAAACAAAGAAGTAGAGAAAGATATACGCTGGAATTATGAGAAGAAGAAAGAGAATCACCTGGAAAAGAAATCAAAAGAAAGGTATATGATATCATTCAGAGGATGAAACGTTCAAAATGGCAATGGGACAGACACATTGCTAAAAAAAAAAAGTCAACAGCTGGACTACAAATATCCTTGTAGCAATCGGATGTACAGGAACAAAAATCTTGATTTTATATAGAAATTAGTGTCAAAGTTTGCAACTTATAGTTTATGGCTTTACTACCGTCCAGGCAGTTTCCGTACGTTATCATCTGGATGTTTAAAGTCTCTAACCAAGTCAGGAAGATAGAGTGGTGAGCAGTTTTCTTCGGAAATCAGCAGGGATAAAGAAGGACCATAGAGGAAAACGAAAATAGATTCGAGAGGATGGGCTACTCGGTAGATTACACTTGGTTCCAGGACATGGAATAGGTCCGACATTCTAGGTGAAAGTGAATGTTTCTGGACTGCAGTCTTAATCGCCTGCATTATGTTTTATTACATAGCCCTTTCGTAAATATTAAAAAGCATATTTTTTAAATCTGTAGAAATATGCTTCGTGAACATGTGAAAACTGAAACATCATAGACCAATATAGTCGGGTGTACGGAGCAATAGAGATTACTTCATTTGGCATGAGAATCTCCATTTCAACTGCCTCACTAGCATCATACCTGTCTACATAACTTGCTTTATGTCTGTTAGATCCGTGAAATGTACCTCTTGTTTACAGTATTGATTCAACTTCTGACAGAAATAGATTTTTTGTTTTTTAAAAAAAAATTTGGCTTTCATTTAATAATGAATTGCCTTAATAATTGCATAAATTTACTATCGCATTTTTAATCATGACATTATAATTATTAATTTGTTTTAATTTTTCAGGTATGGAAGACAATTTTCGAACCATTTACATCGATTGATACAATAACTTGTTTACCATATCCAACACGTCCAAAAAGTAGAGGATTTGTTTCTATCAGATCCACAGATCCTCATGACGATCCTCTCATCGATTTAAAATTTTACTCGAATTCCTATGATTTAAAAATTCAGGTTGAAGGTAAGATAATTTTAATTCTTTTGTAACGAAGCATATCTTATAAACACAGTGTTAGAAACTTCGATGTAAACTTACGGGCCATATGACTGGCAATCATTATCTTCTTGTGACATCAGCCATTTTTCTAACAGTGCATATCATTTAAGCTTAATTAATAACTCGTTTCTTAGCTTTGAAATACTGCTTGAGAATGGCATCTACGAAAGCCATGAGAAAATTTGGAGTTTATCCACTTCCAGTGAGTGTACCCGGTTGCAAACATTATAAGAGATTCAGCGACGAATATCTCGCTTGTCTAGCAACAACACTTCCATTTACAATATACCATTATTGTGGAACGTGCAAGATGGGAAGTGATGCTGATCCTACGACTGTGGTTGATCCAACGCTGAAGTAAGTCTTTGATAATTCTTATGAATATAAGTAATGCTTTATGAATGATTAACTATTATGATAACAATGACATTTAGCTTCATAAAAGTTAAAAAGTGTCACATACATTATGAATTATATCTATTAAATATTTCTTAAATTTGGAAGCCCTAAAAATATAAGTACTTCTCAGGAATACAGCAAATATCTCCTCTGAAAAAATGAACGTTTATTTGTTGTGGAAACTCGCATTGTTTTCACCAATTTTTAGATATGAGTCACGTTTTAATGTACGGTTTCTGCTGAAATAAGGAATAAACACAGGAAAGATAAAAATAATTTATTATAGTCAAAAGAGAGGTAGCTATTTCCTTTAGTTTTTCAGGCAGTCACCATTGACTTCCATGGATTTTTGATTTCGTGTCACTCGTCTCCTGCAGCCATTGTCTTGAACCATTCAGAAACACCATCTTTCAGTTCATATACCATTAAATTCTAGGTGTAATATATATCCCTCATATAACACGGGAGTTCATAAGAGATGTTTAAATAAGCTTTAATAAAAAGAAAACAGTGACAGTTTTAAGAAGCCTTTTGTAACGGAAATGTTTTTAACAAAAATTAATTTTGAAGCCAATTAATAACTGTTACTCTTCTCAATACGCATACACTAATTTTTTAAATATAATGTAAGATTATATTTATTTATATAATTTAGAAATTTTTCTAAATAGGCAAGTATTTAACGCTTAATAATTTTTACATATCTTACAGAGTTAAAGGTGTAGAAGGGCTAAGAGTAGCAGATGCTTCGATAATGCCATTTGTAATAACTGGTCAAATAACTTATGTGATTGGGGAGAAGGCTGCTGATATGATTCTCTATGATTTACTTCATAAACATAAAAACAAATGAAATAAGCCTTTGAAAATAATACTTGGCAATTATTTTTAATTGAATAATCTTATCCTTCAACAAGATATTAGTTTAGTATACTGTATTACGGTAGTCAACAGCATTTCCTTCAGATTACTGATGTTTTCCTATTCCTCAAAAGGGTTTAAGAATTCATTATAAACAAACAATAGAAAATTCCCGGCTTTTACTTTGTTGTGTAAATATAAAAGAAACAAATGAATAATATTTGTCTATTGTCCTATGGAAATTCTTCGCGTGTTGACCAATTCTTTTAGTACTTATAAACATTAACAATTTTAAACTGAACTGAATAAAATGGTGAATAATCTGCCAAGTGTTGTATAATGTCACCTTAGTGTGTCTGTAAAGAAGCAAATTAACAATTTGTTATAATACTCATCTTTACCCTCAAAATTAAGGTTTTTTTTCTATTATATAATAATTAATAATATAATATATTATTTAAAAACTTTTTATAAGAGATGGCTCCACCATAATTTTAAACTTCTTTGCCGGGAATGTTATGCAACTCGTTGCTAAATTTTTTCTTTAGTGCTGAATAATCTTTACATATCTTACAGAGTTAAAGGTGTAGAAGGGCTAAGAGTAGCAGATGCTTCCATAATGCCGTTTGTGGTAACTGGACACTTGAACATTCCGACTTACATGATTGGGGAGAAGGCTGCTGATATGATTCTTCATGATTTACTCCATAGATATAAACACAAATGAAATAAGACTTTGAAAACCGATACTTTATAATTATTGAATAATTCTAACATTTAAAAATATGTTCATTCATTCTACTGTATTACAATAATCGACATATTAATTTTTTTCAGATTACTCATGATGTTTCATCTATTTTATCATTGAAATTTTAATTATGTGTAATTAAAAATTAAATATGTTATTCATATGAATGTATTTTCATTTAATTAAGGTAGATTTAAACAATATTAAATTTAGATTAAATATTAATGCAAGTGTAATTCCTATTCTTATATTAATGAGGACGACGGTTGGGCCAGGCGGTTATTCATCAACGTAACTCACGTAGTATATTAATGGAATCCATGCGAGTCACTCCAGAACTTTTTCTTGAACGATAAGTAGGAGCCAATTATTTGCATTTGCCCCAATTGTGGGCCTGTTGGAACCAAGAATGGACATGATTTAGTTACATAAGCCTAAGCATGTTTACAGTTAAAAGTCTTAGACATAAAAGAAGAGATACTTTCTCTAAATTTAATTTAATACTATGAGCTATTTCGTTTAGAGAATAGCTAGCAAAAAAGCCGAAATGTATTCCGGGAATTTAAGTATTAATTAATTAAAAGAATCGAAAAGGTGTATGACAAATCTGATGATTATAACAATAAGGTCAGCAGACTTATAAGGTTATTTACTACTACAGTATTTAATAGATTAACTGATTAAAAGCTTATATCGCTATTTAATTAACTTTAATGTATGCAATATTTCCACAATACAGGGTTTATAAGAAAGAGTGTAAAAGATTTAAATAATTCGTAAGGTTTTGTAACCTAAATGTGAAAAAAGTAACTGTGGAAATTTTTACTGGTAACACTGTAAAGTTGTTTTCTATAAAACCTTTTCACATTACTTTTTTATATAGGATATACTTTATTAATTTATACTGCGAGTAAGACAACTTATACAAACATAAGTCAATAAGAAATTTTTATACACACTGTATATTATTAATTTAAAAATGTATGCAAACTTAATACTACATTATAGAGAAGTACCATAATTTAAATTGTTTCTAATACTGTTTGTATGATAATATATGTTAGAAGTTGTGTAAAGAAAACCTTGTGTATTAATCTTTGATGCATTATGTCGTTATTTAGTTAATAATTTGAAATTTCTAATATATAAAATGATTTGAAATAGTCACAGGCAGACTATTCGTAACGTAACTTATGACGTTAACACTTGGATAAGACACATGGGCGTAGCCCACAGAGAAGCGACATTACGATCACATTGTATAACAATAATAAATACTAAATACATTAACTTATTACACTAATTCATATGTTTAAATATTTCTCTTTACATAAATAGATGGAAGGAGAATTGCTAACATTTGAATTTATTCTTAAGTAACAATTCTAAATTGACATATCTATTGTAATGACAATATAACTGGTTAATTTTTCCATACTAAGTGTAAAATTTATGACAGATTTAATATTTTATGAAACAGTAAAATATTAATCTTATACTTTGTAAATTATTTTAAGCACAAACTTCGAAATTAAGTATACTGACAGACAATAGTTGTGTAAGTAACTGCTAAACTAACAATAGTCAAGATTAGTGTTCGATTTATTTTAAAAGCATTGCAACCAGAAAACGAAGGCAATTGTTCCAAGCATTTCGACGAAAATCTAGAAGCATAACCTTCGATATCTCTTTCAACGCAAGACAGAGACTTCTTATATATAATTGACGAAAATTTCACAGCAGCTTCTGTTACTCTCGATGCACTAATGCAAATATCAATAAATAAAATAAATGAAAAACTACAAACAGATAATAAGAAACTTGCTTCAAATCTATCCGTATTGATAGAAGGTACAAAATTACAAAGACTTATAGTTAAGTAAATTCCTAAAACGAATGTCCAAAGAAACAAAATTGTAAAATAGCTTTCTTCGATAGCTTCTATGATTTCTTTTATTTTCATATAGATATTTGGAATCGAATATATTTCCTTAGCGAATATTTCGCACGTAGATATACTGTGTGACAACTCGTTAATACACTTTTCTATTAATTTACATATGGAAGAGAAGTAAAGATATAAAAAGTTCAATGTTATATAAAAACAAAATGTACCGATCGTTTCAAATATAAATAAAATTACAATTGACAAAATTTTAGGTAATTTATAACCGAATAATTCGTTTACATGTAGTGTATTAATTTCTTTATCGTTGAGTATATAATAAGTAACATAAACTACTTCGCTCACTATAGGTTGAATCCATATAATAATTACTTTAATCAGTAAAATTTTGTATTCACGATTAGAAGAACATTTATATTTTGAAACGAAAGGCAACATTTTTATATTACGAAAATGTTCATTCTTATTAATAAGAAAATTGTAAATAGATATCAAAGATGTCAAGTTTGAAACCAAAATGATAAATTCTACTCCAAGCATGAAAAAATTGGTGTATGTGTAAACATTGTATAATAAATTAATAAAACTACACAAAAAGAAACACTTCATTACAATTAAAATGATAAGATTGTGAAGAGTAAAACCGTTTTTGTTGTAATTCATTCCTAATAGTGCCATACTTTTTAGTAATGGTTTCCAGGATTTCAATATCTCTTCACCGATATCTTCTGTATTACTGCGAACCTTCACAAGTGTAGTTAACTTCGTGTCTGGAATCTAAAATATAAATATTTAACATTAAATTCTTGTATTATAAACGTGACGACATTTATCTGGATATATATATCTAAATACTTCATGGAATAGGAGCACTGTATTACCCTACTTTCTTCCAAGAATTTTTCATTTTTCTGTTGGTGTTCTTAGAGTTTTGCTTTCTAACGTCTCCAGTTTTTGATTTTCTGCTGTACAAGTCGACCCCCCCACAACACTGTCGATTATTCCGTTTTAAATGAATTCCATGTTGTATGAGTCACTTAGATTTTACAAATACGTGAGCCATTCACAGCCCGGCACACGTATTCGTAAAATCTAAGTGACTAGTACAACGTGGAATTCATATAAAACGGAATAATCAACTGTGTTATAGGGGAGTCGACTGAGTCGACCCCCCTATAACACTGTTCGAATTAATATAAAACGGAATTATCATGTTGTACGAGTCACTTCGATTTTACAAATACGTGTGCCGGGCTGTGAACGGCTCGTGTATTTGTAAAATCTAAGTGACTCGTACAACATGGAATTCATATAAAACGGAATAATCAACTGTGTTACAGGGGAGTCGACTGTATTTGTTAGAATTTGTAAATGTTTTATTATGTCTACTCAATTTTCGCCATTTAATATTGTTTAAAATACTAGAAACGAGTGAGATATTTAATGGAACTGGTTTGTTGAACTTATTTTAGGTGAGCGTAATCATCTTTCATCTCCATATTGAATTCTGGTTATTTTTGTTGGCCTAATAGCATATAAATGAAAGAAACATCACGAGTGGAAAGCTAAATATCTGTAATTTGTACAGATAATTATTGAAAGTGACAATTCAAAATAAAGTTGTACTTATCTTCAGTTTATATTCCCAAAATTTTCTAAAAAATTCCCTAAAACAATACCAGGATAAAAGAAAGAAGCTCTGTTACTGATAGAGACCATTACTTGATTATAGACTTAAGAGGACATTTGCTAGACTTAAGAGGACATTTGCTATCTAGCTACTATTGTATACTCAAGATTTAATTTTGAGGGAGCCGAGCTGTACTTATTAAAAGTATTTAATGCGAATACAATAAAATACCAACCATAAGTGACCACTAATTCATAAGTAATATGAAAATAGAAGACAAGCCACAATATAAATAAATAGAACAAATAAATATTAATCAGAAAAAAGAATTTTTAAAATATTAACTAGTTTTCTCTGAATTTGAATGGTGTCAGGACCTCTTTCACCCTATACGAATGCGCAACTGTTGACTATAACAATGTATACATTTACAATTACTTTCTGTTTTATCTAAATATATAAAATTGCTTGTCCTGACTGACTGATTGACTCACTGAGATTCATCATCGCCCAGAGCAAACCGCTTAACCTAAAGAGGTGAAATTTGGTACACAGTTAAGGTACGCCATGGCAATTCACATTAAGAAGGGGTTTTTCAAAATTTCCCCGCGGGGGGAGAGGTAGAGCATTAAGTCTTAACCGGAAAAACGGCTTCTACTGTACTATTTTAGATACGATTTTTGTTTTCAACTACGTTTAGTCTTCATTGAGTACTTAGGTGTATTAAATTGATAACATTTCAAACATTGTTATAAATGTTTTTATCTATTTCGATTTTAAAAATGCTCGATTCGTTTTAAATTCAAATTTGTTATTGCATATTGGTTCGATTATAGAACGATTGTAAACGTTCCAGAAAATTGATCAAATTAAAGATAGTTCGTTTGATTTTTGGCAATTTTGGCAATTCTTTTCAGCGGTAGGTGTTATATGACAATTACTACGGTTATTGAAATATATAATGTAAATGGGGTTTGCTTGCAAAACCTCCGCGGACGAAGTTGCGGGTAACAGCTAGTAGATTATAAATTAGTAATGTTAGAGATGATCGTTGTTATTCGAAATATAATAATTTAGTATATTTTAAGGCTATCTTTTCCATAAATATAAGATATAGCTTCAATTTCTAGCGAAATAATTTTACAATTTTTAAGTTATTATGAAGGTTTTATCAATTCAAAATGTCTCGTACTCACCTTCCACATTCTTTTCTGTCTTATCTTTTTGTAGAAGCTTAAGCATTGAATTTAGATGCGCTTCTAATGATTCTAACAGTTCTGATGCGTGTTACTGCAACTACACAATGGCTTCAGTTTCTATTCCAGTTCGACAGTAATGACGTATAAATCGATTTAATGTGTCAACAATAGCACTTCTGTAAATTAAAACCCCATCGATTTCTAATAAATTTTAATTATGTCGTGCTATAAAAACAAAATGTCCTTTCTTATAATTAGCATCAAATATTTACACAATATTAATTTTGAAAACGAATTTCGTATTAATTTATTTATTCAGGAATATAAAATAAATTAAAAATTCGATTCGTATTTATGAAATAAGTAGGAAGTTCTATAGGTCCTGATTGAATATTACGCATTTAAAATTACAATAAGAAGTTTTATATCCTATTACTACTTGGTATCATTTAAACACATCTCATTTAGTCTAAGATTCTCTTTTCTCTTCACCATGTAGTATTAATGCTATAATTTCCTCTTAATTACCATTATTTATAAAGTAATCTCAACCTGAAATTAAAGGTTTAGTATACGTATCTTTTCTTCTACAAAACCTTCTTTCATCTAAAAATAATAGTAATTATTTTTAGGTAAAAGAAATTTTCGACAATATCTTCAATATATTTGCCATATTAATTCCTGCTTACTATAAGCGAAATGTAATACGAAACAATGATCCCCAACATGAATTATTTAAATACAGAAATATAAAGATGTAATTAAATTATTTTTATCAAACGGTAAACTCGAGATGGTGTTATAATCAAGTCAGTTTTAATCAAGAGTTCAATTGGTAAAAGAAATTTTTATTTTAAAACGACAGGGTAAAAAATATAATAAATATTTAATTATAGAAGTCGAATTTTTACTTAAACATATCACAGTAACATCATAATACGTTCTTCGAAACGTTTAGTAGAAACTTACTTGTTTTAAAGACTTTAAGAACATGAAAAATAGAATAAAAATAAGGCAAAGAATTAAAAAAATTAAATAAAAAATACATCGTCGTATAAAAATGTCGAGAAAAATTCGTACAATTTTGAATACTTAACTGTTATCAACTGGAGATGACAATCCCGAAGACGTTAAGAAGAACGTTTTATGACTGCACTTTCTTATATCAATACTTATGTAGTAGACTTTGCCAAATGACATTTACCTCCATACTTTTATTTAAATTAATCGAATTTAACTGTTGTAATATTTTAGTATGTTCCTAAAAATGCTTTTTTTTATGTAGAGTTTTCACAATATCTCGTAACCTTCTCTTTACTTATCGTACAACCTTGTCCCGTGCAATACAAAAACTAAGGGAACTGTCTATAATCTAATCTAATTGACGTCACGTGTTCCTTCGGTCTCGTACCTAACTTTCTCCTCGTTTCACCAATATAATTATTGTTTTCCTTTCGTGTACTGCTTAGTTTATACACTAAACAACCCACAACGTCTCAAACTTACTTTGTATGCAGTGAAGGCTTACTCGTATTTTTTAATTATCTTTTGAATTTTCTGTATTACATTAACGGTATAATTTGCAAATCGTGCAATAACCAAAAGGATTAAGTTGAAATTAACATCTATTCGTTCTAAGAGTAACTACGTTGCATATTATTTTTAAGTGTTTCACTTCACTTTCTAGTGGAAGCTATTTTACACTAGGAAATGAAATGAAACGTATAAATGCATATGTTACCGCTAAAGCTCGAAATCCGTTAATGTGTACATTACCTAGCTAATTTGTAGGTTAACTAGGGTGATCCGTTAAAGCTGCGAAAATTGTTCAATTTCTCAAATTACCTAGGTAATTTGTAGAGTATCTAGGTTATCTGCACATTAACGGTTCCGTATCGTTAAAGTTCAAAAGTTTGTTTCTTTCATTTCCTTTCCCCACTCCTTTTTACGTAGATAAATTTAAATCCTAGAATGCAAGCAAACACCGAATTCGTGAGTAAAATCAAGAAAAGATACTTCGCAAACCGCTTTAGCGAAGATTTAAAATATAATACGTAGTGTTTTAATAACAAACCAAAGTATGATTCCGTAATTGAAGATGTAAAGCAAATAAAAGTTTCCAAGAAGAAAGAATCGTCTCGAGATTATCAAATAATTTAAAGGTGTGATGTGTTGACTGTACGAGGCTGTGAAAAACTCATTGAGCCGTNGTAATTTGAGAAATGGAATAATTTTCGCAGCTTTAACGGATCACTCTAGTTAATCTGCAGATTAGCTAGGTAATGCGCACATTAACGGATTTCGAGCTTTAGCGGTAACACATATAAAGCTAATTGTTGTGTTTTATTTTATATTATACGTTAATTAAAGTATTTATAAAAGGAGTCATTTACTGACCCACATGGTCGTCAGTGTTTCAAAGTCTGTCGAAAGGTTATGACAGATTTGATTTATTCATACCCACCATCGATAAACATCGAGGGGAATGTCTTAAAGGAGGACTTTTTCTGCAGAAAATTGGTCTTTATTTGGGTGCGAGACAAGTGTAGAAAATTCGAAAACTTCCACGTCGCTAATTCATTGGTGAGGCGCAAACCACAAACTCGATGGTTTAATCCACTGGGACACTGAAGCGCTTCTTTTATATATAACAGAGCCATTTCTCAAGATTATAATAAATACAAAGACGTTAGTGTTTGTTTCGTCCGGAAAAATAAAAGTTTGTTCGCTGTAAAGACACGTATTCTTTTCAAATATTTTTATGTTCCTTCTGGTCACATATAACTGAAGAAAAAAATAATAATGGACAAGGGTAAAGAACCGGCAAATCCCGAAATTTTGTATACATTTTTGGACTAAGGAGACCTTTAATCGTCGATAAATCGGAAAACTTCAGGTTTATTTTGTATGTGTGAAATAGCACAAATTGGTTGGTTCACTTTCATGGAAACGATTCCTGTGCGTTTATCGAAAATGTCTATAGTTTTGCAGAGAAATTTGGTACTACGAGATTGATGCTATTCAATTTTATTAGTTAAAGAGGGTGTGAAGTGATAGAAATGTCGTGTGTCATATCTCGAAAAGGGTGGGGCCTGACAAAGATCTACATCGTTATTCTTATCTTATAAAACTTATTTATACCCAGAAAATTAACTTTTTCGACAATTTATAATAAATTGTTTTATATTTTTTATATAAAAAATTTTCAATAAAATATTATAAGAGATTGTAAGTTAAGAAACTCCTTATTAGATTTTAACTTTTTCTCACGCACAAAATTTCATTAAATCAGAAAAACATTAATTTTAATGTCATTTTTTCAAGAATGTTGTCGATGTAACAATTTCCAATTGTTTCAATTGTTGAAGCGAAATAAAGCGTTATTTGGAAAGTATTCGTTTGCGAATTTCTAGTGAAAAAATGATGAGAGAAAGGTAAATTTAATCAAAAGTAATGATTACGAATGACATTTCTTTCATATTTATTTAAAATTTCATCAATTTAGTTATAATAGACGTGATGGCGCTGAACCCGACGGTCAGCAAAATCAGAATTATTGGATTAATAATGTAAGTTATTTCAATATCATCGATGAATTTTTTATTAAAAGTCAATTAACAAGTCTTTACTCGATTTTGAAATATGCATTAAGAGTAACAAATATTATTATTTTGATTTTCCGTAGAGTTTCTATGACTTGCCCGCCAATGAGTGTTTCTCCGCTTACAAAGGAGATTCATCATTTGAGGTGAACAAACCTAAGAGAGATTTAAAGATAGGAGGATTTAAACACTTTTTCAAAAGTGTATTTTGTAAACTGTTGCGCTGTTGTTGCGTAAAAGGAGAAACTTCCGATTCACCGGTAACACTCGAGTTTCTTTGTTTTCTCTGTTTTTCAATTAACGAACTTTGAACCAAAATATTTTATAATCGTAGAAGTGCGAATTGGAGGATTTTCAATCTGGACTTGAACGTCTAAACAACACTAAAGACAAGTACAAATTTCAAGAAATTGGTGAAGGATCTTTTGGCACAGTGTATGTGGGTCGGTGTAAAAGTTCCGACAAAGCAATCGCTGTCAAAGCCATCAAGAAACGACGGTTTTTCCTAAAGCAGGTATACATTGTTTTCCATAATCTTTCTATCTACAAACGATACAATGTCTGTAACGACATTGGTAGAATCCAAGAATGTACTACTTTATTTTATCTTTGAAGTGTGTACACATGACTGAAAAAACACAGTTCATTTATATAATAATGTTGTTGTTAATACTTTTCAAAAATATTCTATAAAAAACTAATACAGAATATATTAATTTCATATTTCGTATATATTAATTATACTTTTTTATTTACAGAAATTAGATATTCTCAAAGANATACTTTTTTATTTACAGGAATTCGATATTCTCAAAGAAGGAACTGCTTGGCGCCGTGTATCTAATCATCCTCACATTGTCAGTTTTATTGGTCTATATTAATTTCATATTTCGTATATATTAATTATACTTTTTTATTTACAGAAATTAGATATTCTCAAAGAAGGAACTGCTTGGAGCCGCGTATCCAGTCATCCTCACATTGTCAGTTTTATTGGTCTCTTCGAAACTGATATTAGGTAAGCTTTATGTTTTTTGATATTACTAATTTGTAACATCTTATGTGTTTCGGGTAATAAACTACTCGTGTTTTTCAGTCACTGTTTCGTCTGTGATTATGTGAGTGGAGAGAATTTGACCGACTTCTTGGAAATAAACGGAATATTATCGGAAACCCAAGCTAAGACGATCGGTGCACAACTTGCTTCGGCCATTATTTATATTCACAAAAAAGGTGATTTATCTAAATATATTTATACGTATAAATTTTCTTACGTATACACTATCTAACAAATTATTTTACTGTCTTCCATAGGAATTATTCACAGAGATATAAGCTCAAACAACATCTTAATAGATAAAAAAAATGGAGCACATTTGATTGACTTTGGTCTGTGCACAGTAAGTACTGTACAGTACCTCTCTTACTTTTCTTCAACTGTGCTTTTCTTATGACGTGACGACCTTATTGTTTTCAGTTCGAACGCCGTCCACAAGACTTCTGTGGCACTCTGTTCTATTTATGCCCAGAAATTGTTCAACGGAAGGAATATGGTAAAAAATGTTATTTACATTTAATGGATTTTTTATTTCTTTCTTTTATTGGTGAAATCAATGTACGGTTTACAGACGCTTACTGCGATTGGTGGGCGTTTGGAGTTGTATTATACCAGAGTTTGATTGGAAAAACTCCAATGAACATTTACCTGGAAGAAATTATGACCATTGAAGATTTCCAGTCATTGCCGATAATCGAGAAACTCCAAAGTAAGTACAATTCAGAAATGGTTAAGAAATAAAGTTAACGATGTTTAATATAAAAATGTCATTGCAGTTGCTGAAGAAGTGGAGTTAACGTATCCTTTTGAACTATCGGAGGATGCCAAACAAATAATCCAGGATTTGTTACAGAAAGTAAGTTTATGATGCATTTTATGTAATTAATTTTCTGATTTTTCTACTATACATTTCACGAGAGAAAAATTGTTTAGATCGTGTTGATTAATTTTGATATATTACACGTTTTATATTACCTTAAGCCATACAATCTTACATGTTTTAATATTAATNTGCCAAACAAATAATCCAGGATTTGTTACAGAAAGTAAGTTTATGATGCATTTTATGTAATTAATTTTCTGATTTTTCTACTATACATTTCACGAGAGAAAAATTGTTTAGATCGTGTTGATTAATTTTGATATATTACACGTTTTATATTACCTTAAGCCATACAATCTTACATGTTTTATAATTAATGTGAACCGCAATCGTTGGTTTTATGAGACAAATGATTTTTAAAGTAATTTTAAATTTTTAACTGAATCACTTCACTATTAGTTAATTACGTTAATCGAACATTGAATTCCGGTTTTCAGTAACTGACTTAATTACATTCTAATCATTGATGAGAAATTTAAAAAGTTACGACGTATCACACCTTACTTGTTTGTTTCGTTGCAATTTCTTTGATATTGTTTACAAAGACGAAAGTATGGTAATTGAATTGAGAAGTTGCAACAAGTATAATTATGTGACCGCAGGGTCGGCACCTCTTTGATGCCTTGTCAGGACTGACACCACCGTGTCTTTTCGGACAGACACAGAAACCTGGTTGGTCGCAAATTTCGTTGAGCGAGCGGTCGCACTTGTAGGCTTTCGGATTCGGAATGGAGGCAAAAGGAGACTACCGGAAGAAGTACACTCTACAGATTAACATTTAACAAAAAATACCCGATTATTTACATTTCAGAAGCTTAACACAATTGCTACAAAAATTTATTATACATGCTTAGCACGATTGCTAAAAAAGACCAATTTCGACCCTGATCGAGAGAGAGAGAGAGAGAGAGCTCGCAGTAAGTTCGCGAGATGATAAATACTTAAAATACTCGTAAGTCTTAGACGTATCGATGCGACGTAGGTGTGAAAGTTCGGCAACTGAGTTCGGAGAGTACAGTAATCCCTTTTTGTCTTCTCGGGAAGCGGCGAGCAATGACGGCTGGAACGGCGGGTCGGTACATACACACACTTTAGAAAAGATTGCTCCCGGTTGTCATCGTCCCTCCCTTTTATTAGGGGGCTCCTCCTGGGTTTTTCCCATGACTTGGTTAAGATTTTTAGTATTTTAGGACCAATAGTCAAATGTTGACTCGTTGGTTCCGGGTGACACTTTCAGTGTGTCACCTACAATAAGGAAGTAAGTCCGTGGGAAGCAGGTTTAATCATCTGTTGTATGATTTTCTCTCGAAAAATTTGTTAATAAAAATTTTTTGTCAGGCCCGAGCTGACAATTAACTATTATTATTGTTGACCATTTCAGAATCCTCGGGAACGTCTTACAGAAGAAAACATCAAAAATCACAATTTTTTCGATGATGTGTCGTGGCCTATAATGCCAGAGAATTAAATCATTATTTAAGACATGCATAGAATTGTTCGAATGGATTACTTCTGTTCATTCGTTCCTTTTATTTTTACTTTAAATGTTTTCTTTTAACTTCATACTTTATTCGTTATAAATAAATCTTAATTAATTACTTATCGTTTTCGCACGTTTTGATTGTGTCACTCGTCTGACTTTTATATGATCCGAATGTTAAATACATTATTATAAATGATACGTAATTAGGAATTACTCAGTGACACGCTGTCCATGAAAGCTGTGGAAACGCCGCTTTCCTTGTTTTATTTTAAATATAAATACATATTGTACCAGTGAATGTCAACATTACATTAATACGTCGATTCAAATCAAGAATAAAATTATCAAAGTAATTTAATTTCAGAATAGAACAACTTTCATAATTATTTCGTAATTCATCGAAATTAATGCCATTATTAACACAAATTTCCCTTAAACTTTTAGACCACAGACAGTCCCTATTATTTAACACATAACACAAACACATTCTGCCCCATCGTTTTTCATCCAATGCAATAGTGCTGAAGGTCCAGTTCAAACACTTATTCAATACTGTAAAAGACAAAAGTAATAGCGAACACTCCATAAAAATCAGATAACTTGGGGTACAACGAGACAAACCAAATACAAGCTCATATTATTTTCTAGTAAATATTTATCCAAAATATTAATAAATTCTTGTAAACCTCTGACTGAGTCGGCAAGTAAAAATATATCATCTGCATAAGCCAATATTTTAATGCTAATGCCGTTCACCTCATAGTCAGAATTAGTTATTTGTTCAATTAAATCATTTAAATATACACTAAACAACACAGGACTTAAAACACAGCCCCGTTTAATCCCAGTAACATTGAAAAAAGACCTAGAACAAAGACGACCCCATTTAATCTTCACATTAGACTTTTCATATAATTCAGTAAACAAGGAAACAAATTTAAAGCTAATACCATATTTCAAGAGTTTTTTCCACAATAAATTCCTATCTACGGTATCAAAAGCTGAGGACAAGTCAACAAAGAATGCATATACTCAATCTAATAATCTTAGATTGAACAGGTTTGTTCAAACATAATACCATGGGAAAGTGATCCGAAAAACAATAATCATCATCTACAGAAAAAGATTTAACACAACCCCATGCACAAAAAGTTGTTAAACCGAAATCAATAACCGAGGAACCCATGCTAGACACAAATGTATATTTATCAGCTTCATCGCCAGACATTCTACTATTTAATATTAATAAATTTTTATCTGCACAAAATTGAAGCATCTTTTGCTCCCTGCTGTTCACGATAACATCCTTAGATGTTCTTCTTCTTTTAGCCAAATCAATACCGTAACCATCACCAATGTAGTCAGGAATAATTTTTCCCTCACCCATCCGAGCATTAAAATCACCCAAAATAAATAAATTTAAATCTTCATTGAAATTAAAATTATTTAGTCTCAAAAATTTCCTGCCAGCTATATCAATAAATATTTTATCGTAAGTTAAACGGATTTTCTGAGCACCTTCAGATTTCTTCTGTTTTCCAAACATCCTTAACTTATACCTAATATCTCTTAATCGTTGAGAAAAGTCATCATTAACAAATACATTTAAATTAAAATGCTTTTTTAAAAGATAATTTATCATTAAGAGACCCAAACTGACAAATTATTATTCTAGGCTTGTCACCAAATTTCTTACCAACTCGCCTAGCTTCAACATATCGCAACAGATGCAAATTCATCTTGTTCATAGCAAAAGATTTAACTGCCTCTAATGTATCATTAGCCGATTCTCCATCTCCTTTCTCCAAACCATGTACAGTATTACTATATTATTAATTCTCCTCTGATTGTCCATGTAATCTATCTCTCGTTCCATTTTCGACACTTTCATACTAATGTTATCAATAAGAGAAGAACTCACCGACACCGATCCGCATGAACCAATCCTGGTTTTAATATTAACTAATCTAACCTCAAAGTCAACAAGTGCCTCGTCCACATTCTTAAGCCATTCCGTAAGATGGTCGAGTCGCTTTATAAAATCCTCCACCTTGCCATTAAAAGCAGCATGCATACGCAATAATAAACAGAACACCTTTAGTAATTCAGTAACCTCCTCGTCCTGACAGAAACTACTCCTTCTATGTCTACTTGGTGTCCTCTCCGGTACAGTCGGTGAAAAAGACTCTCTCTTTATGCCTTGTGACATAATAAAACAAGAAAAACTTACCTATAAAAGAAAAGTGTTCCAATTCGAATTGTTCGGTATCAAATATGTCAACAGACACTTTATGTTTATAATTTAAGGTCAATAACTTAATTATATCAGTTTTATAAATGACCCAATTATCTGAATGTATTAAAATATTCGATTATTTGAAGGAAAATACATACGTATATAAGTAAACAACATTTATAAATAACAGAACACATTTAAAATGGCTTAGGAATTAAAAATGTCTTTGACATTTCTAAGCTTTAAATTTATTAGTTTTTTAACTAAACATTTTATTTTTATTTCTATAAATATTTCGTGTATTTTTCTTCCTAATTAATTAAATTGGATATATACAAATAGAGAACAATAATTCTTTAGTGTTTAATCAAAACGAGTATAGGACACACAACTTTTTTTTAAGCAAGGAAAGTGACAAAGTGTTTATTTTGTCTTATAAATAATTACTTTATACAAAAAAAGAAATAATAAAATTTATATTTAACATAACATGTGTAATAAATTTTATATAAACATTTTATATTTTTAATAATTTATAATTTATACAAGATCTTGCTATTTTGATTACGATCTTCTAACAATGCTCAATTAATTAGATACTGTAATATTAATTTAAAATATATTAAATATATTAATTAACTTTAATTGTTATTTAGAAATAAAGGATAAAATAAATTTTAAGTAATATATTAATAGATATTTAATAAAATCTTATGTTAATAATAATAATAAACATATGAACCTTATAAAACCTGTAACAATACTTTTATTGTGACGAACAATAAACAATTAAGATTAAAATAAAATTTTAAACATATCGCTTATGTTTCTATGTTTATAAAAATATAAAACTCGTATTATTCCTACGAATATTATAAATAAATAATAAAATAAGTGATATTTCTATTAATTAATAAGGAAAATTGTTTAATGTTACGTTTATAAAAGATGATGTAGTTCGATATTTTCGATGTACATTTTATTTTTGTACAATGTGATTATTTATTAATGCTTGATTTTAAAATTAATAATCATTTTTGCAACTCGACTGTAACCACGATGTTACACATTTCGTTTGTAATTTCGCTCTTTACCATTTATTCTACTTATGCAGAATTACCTAATCAGTACGACTACATTATAGGTGAGCTCTACTTCTCTTACGTTTATTCATTTTTATTTTATTTTACGTACAGTAGACCCTCTATAACACTGTTAATAATTCCGTTTTATATGAATTCCATGTTGTACGAGTTACTTAGATTTTACAAATACGTGAGCTGTTCACAGCCCGGCACACATATTTGTAAAATCTAAGTGACTCGTACAGCATGAAATTCATATAAAACGGAATTATCAACAGTGTTATAGGTGGGGTCTACTGTACATAAGAATTTAGCAATGGTAGTGTTAAAGTATACCATTAATGCAGTAATTTAGTAAAAAAGGCAATGAAAGGTAAGAATAGTAATGTTCATAGACGTATAATTCTGTCTGTTTTCGATGACGAAACGTAATACATACATTAATTCACCACTCGAATGTCAAACGTGTATGGTGTAGGATCATAGTTGTGTGATTCTATTGATATTTATGGGTGTTGGTGACTCTAAATTGGATGTTGCTGATGCGGATTATAGCCTTATCAAGTCACCATTTTTGTTCATGGATGTACAGTAGAACCTCGATTATCCGGACTAATTGGGGATGAAGGTAGTCCGGATAAGGAAAAATCCGGATAATCGAAACAAATACTTTAATTTGTCTTTTAATGATAATACAACACGTTTTCTTTTCGATGACATATCGGTAATATTAAAAGTAAATACTGTATTTAAATCGTGATCAAATTTTCAAGAAACAAACGTTCGTATTGAATTTGGACTACTACTGACCAACGCTAACAGACTACCTATTGTTTAAAAGGCCCTCTGGTGGCGCAAGAAGACGGATTTTATAAAATAAAAAGCAGTTGAAACTGCATTTTTATGAATAAAAATTTGACAAACTATTTATCGTTTTATGACGAGTAAAATTTTTTCGTCGCGTTCGCGGCTTTTAAGTAATGCATAAACCTTCGAGGCGCGAGGCCCTTCGGACCGCGAGGCATAGGCGGTGGCCCACGTCGTCCATGCCTTACGCCGCCCTTGGTCATAGAAATGATGTAATTTGAATATAAATTATTTATAAATACGTATGTCAAGTTATATTTTTATTACTACGTAAAATATATTTAAGAGTTTACGACCACTGTGCTGGATAAGACGTCGTTGAAACAAAAAAAGTTATGCATTCCATCACGTACATAAACAGTGTCGTAATTCGCCAAGTGCAAATCAACAAATTCGTAAAATTTTTGTTTATTTTGAACAATCCGGATAATCGAAAATCCGGATAATGGAGGTCCGGATAATGGAGGTTCTACTGTAATTTATTAATGAGGAAATACGTGAAGGACATAGTTTATGTATTCCAGTATTCTTATCAATTCGAAATCTCAGGAAAAGATTACCATTATCCATACCTTCTTAGATGTTTACATGGTGACAAAAGGTGCAGATATATAGGGACTTTGAATGGTGTACTGTACATTGTACTTAATCTTTTATTACTTTCCAAAATTTAGATAATATAAAAGCAGAACAAAAAAATAACCTAAATTTATATAAATTACATATATATACCCCCAACGAATATATTTTATCAGTTAAATTCGTCTTAAAACAAGGTGTAACTTTCTGATTAAACGATCGATATGCAATGAAGCACATAAATCATTCAATGTTGGCTGATAAATTAACATAATTTATGCAAATTTATTAAAACCGTAAAAAAATTAATTAACAAGATATTGATTAATGAATATTAACCTGTTATTAAAATTATAAATTAATTTATTATTATATATTTTAATCTTTCAGAATTAATATCTTACAAAATACGTGTTTTTTTACTGGATTTCCTTAATGTAATACGATAACCTGTGTTTAAATTTATATTGCTTTTTCCTTGAAAAAATGTGAAATTAAGTAGTTAATATTATATTAATATCTTTAGCACGTTCTTGTGTTATCTACAAAATTTATCGATAGGAATTTAGTGTTGTACAACGAACTAAATTTGTTTCTTTTTATTTATTACTTATAAAAAAAGTTCATTTTCATTCCTCTTTTTCTACATGAAACAATAATTGTTGAATACCTTTCTATATTATGGTGTTCGAGTCGAATAGTTATACTTACTTCATACTCATCTGATCTCTTTGCAAGTATAACAATATATTAATTTAACAATAGGAATTTTTCCATGATAAAACAAAAACGAAATTTTGTGATGATTGATTGAGGGTATTTATTTGTGTAAAATTTGTTTAGGAAGAGGTAATGTGACGTGTCGACCTGTATAACAGCTTACGTACAGTCGACCGCTCTATAACACTGTTGAATTTTTTTTTAATTACTTTTTTTTTACTATTGAACACAAGACTGTGTTATTATTAAAACACTTGGCGTTTATCCACTTTATTCAGTTGACTATCCACTTTATTCAACTGAATAAAGTGGATAAACGCCAAGTGTTTTAATAATAACACAGTCTTGTGTTCAATAGTAAATAAATACGAAAACACGGTTTCAAAAAACGAATCAACTACTGTTGAATTTTAACAAGTACATTAACAAGTACAGGAGCTATAGAAACGATCGGATATGTAAATTTTAAATATAACAAACAACACGGTTGGCCCGATATTGAATTATTATGGATAACATTATCAGCCGCATCGGATAAAGGTCGAAATTTCAGGAGAGCTCAAAATATTAAAAATGAAGTAAATTTACTTATTAAAGCTTTATGCAATGTTTTAAATTTTAAAAATAAAACGAATTAATTAATTTCATTAGGTTTGGAAAATCTATAAACCGTTTACGTCAACGGATACAATATCATGTTTTCTTTTTCCAACACGTCCAAAAGATAGAGGAATCGTCACTCTTAAATCCACTAATCCTTACGATGATCCAGTGATAAATTTTTATTTTTATTCTCAAATCGAAGACTTAAATGTTATGGTTGAAGGAAAAGAATAAATCAAAGACAGTTATAAATATAACGAGCAATTATTTACTGTGACATCTTCACACGCTAATGTTTAATTATATTTATAATTTATTTAATTTAAAATATATGCTCTCCACCTTAAATTATTAGTGGCTTGCTCCTGTACATCATACTTTTCCTTTAATAACAAAGTCGTGTCGGTTATCTAACATCTTTCAGGGGAAAATATTTGAATTAAAATAACGTTTATTCCAGTTTTCATGGGACGTTCATATATATTTAATCAGGACCTCCATCCCTTATGGTGGCCATAAGTGTTATTGACTTTCATCTATCGAAATCCTTTCACGAGATTAAGGAAAGACAGACGGACGAACGGACTGACGACGACAGTGAAAATGTATAGGTCTACAATTTTAAATTGCAGACCAATTAGATTAATGGTTGAAAACTTTTTCTATAAAGTTACACGTAAACTTTAATCGAACAAAAGGATAACCTTTTGAATATTTATAGATCTTTCTTTGTCTTATTCAGTTCGATTGGCAAATGGTAATAGTTTGAATGCTTATTGCTGAATATTTGTTGTGATTTTTGATTGAATTTCTGATTTTTTTATATATCGAAATATTTAGGTATGAAGTATTGTCTAGCAATGGGAACAACCAAAGCTATGAAAAAATTTGGCGTTTACCCTCTGCCAATTGTAATCCCCGGTTGCGAGCATTACGTATTATTCAGCGACGAATATCTTGGTTGCGTGGTTAAAGCGTATCCATTTTCAATATTTCATTACGTTGGGACAAACAAAATGGGAGCTTACGACGATTCCAGCACCGTTGTAGATCCAACACTCAAGTAAGTCTATTTTGAAAATGATGTACTTGAAAATTAATTGTAATTTTTATTTATTTCTAATATAAATTTGAGTAATTTTGATGTTTAAGTTTTTTCCTTAGAACCATGATTTTTACCCTATTGTAATTACTGGCAGACATCCTAGTCATTCTTTAGAATTTAGCATTCCAATTCATTTATGTCCTCCTCGTCGGGACGTGCATAACCATTTCCATTAAGAAAAGATTGGCTCGCTCCCTAATTGTATGAACCCACCTTTCTAATCATGTAAATCAAGCAACCAACCAAATCCAAACCTTTGGGTTTGATTTGGCTGACATGGAAACACAACTTCTGTCAAAAAATGTGAATATTTGTACCTTTAAAAAATCCTGTACCATTCTGAAATTAAAGCCTCACGGTGTTTAGGATCAAAATTTAGTTAGATGTAAAATTTTAAAACTGTTACACAGTTCGAATTATAATTAAAAGCAATGCAAAATATAAATAATTAACTTAATTATACATTACAGAGTGAAAGGAGTGAAAGGGCTTAGAGTAGCGGATGCTTTTATTATACCATCCATGCCTACAGGACACACAAATTTTCCGACAATGATAATTGGCGAAAGAGCAGCTGCCATGATATTACACGAACTTCACGACAAGGGACATAAATAAAAGTTCCTGAATGGCTTCACTTTTTGTATTGACGTCTTGTATTGTACTCTACGTGATATTTAGAATATAATATAAAATACTGTATGTAAATTAGTTTATTCGTTCTTGTGAAAGAATATTGCGCCAGAATATTTTTACTTCTCTGCTGGAAGTATTTAAATCATTAATTCATTAATTAATAATTATGTTTTAACCGTAAAGGTTTTAATAAAAACAAATAAATGTTATTTTAGATGTCTTGCATAAGTGTATGTGTATTATGTTAGTTTGTTTTTATGTATGGTTCCTGTGTTATAAAAGTGAACTTTATATATATGGTTCCTGAGTAACACAGGACCTCAAAATAACTTTTGGCTATCGTGACCCACCGGTAACTTTCATAGTAATCAACGTAATAATTTATAAATATTTGGTACATTTCTCAATTATTCTTATAAAATATTTGTTATTTTAAAATTTTATAGCCCAACGGAAAAACTATTGAACAGTGGTAATTTGGTGAGTGTTTTTCAAGTGTCTAATACCTAAAAGTGAGTCAGTTTTCTACAGAAAGTCATTCTATTACGCTGGGATGTGGTGCCCTTCGGCATTGTCACACTTGTTGTACTCATTAATTTTCTTGCTGCTGAAATACATATTATAAATTCCTACGAATATAGTTTGATTCTGTTTTATGAAAACTTAGCATAAAATTAGCATAGAGTTACGATAGTTCGAGGTTCCGTATTGTTCAAGACACTACAACCTTGAAGCCAAAGTACAGATAATCAACCAGAAAATTTCTTATTCGGATAAGTGAAATCAAGTGTATGATGAGACACCATACACTGAAATTGTAGGTATAACATCGGCTTGCAATGTATTTCGTTTTGAAATTATACGGTTACCAGACCCTTCCACATACGATTGCCAATCTCCGTATTGTATAGAACCTTTTCTGTTTATGCAAATAAAATGAATACATCATTTAACTCCCTTTACTTATTACTATTTTCCATTGTATATAAATTCCGTATACTTCGAGGTTGTATTGTTCCTGATCAACTCGAACACTCGACACTCTGTATATCATTATTGAAATTAATAGCATTTTTCACATAATTTTCTCTTTTATGTAACATAAAATTTCACCATAAAATGCCATTAAAGTTTATAATTTTATCGTTTAATTTCCAGAAACCTAACACCCCAATTTATATTATAGATTTAAGGAAGTGTAACATTTTCCATAACGATGAATTTCATGTACCAGTACATCGATTAACAGAGCCTACTGTATATACTAAATACTATTATAAAGTTATAACAATAATTATTTTAATTATGTAATTATCTATCCTAATTATATAAAAGACTATTTTTATTTAATACGTTTTGAAAATCCAATATCATTATACATTACATAAAGCGTTCTGTGTTGTATAATAGAATAGGTGCATTTCATCAATAATAAAACACAATATTAATCGATACCATTAACCATGGAAGACGGCTGCTTATATTGTTCCCTCTTACCCTCTATGTCTCTATCCTACATATTTGGCGGCTTATTCTTCGAGCCTTGTCAATGCAGACCACACAACAACAAGACTATGGCTATGCGAATTTACACTATATTCGTGCAAGGTATTTATATAGCGCACTTCGTTCTCTTAACAATCCAGCTTTTTCCAACAGATAAAACAATCGGGTGCGGTGCCACACACAGCTTGACCGAAACACAGAGCGTACCTTTTGTTAGATTCCTACTTTTGTCAGTGGCATTTCTTTGTGGTGTCCTTCACAAAGCCGGAAGAAGTCACAAAATAATACTTAACCAAAAGCTGTCGAGTTACTCAAACGAAAGAGAAAAACTATTGAAATATCAGAAAGTAATCCACCTTTGTGTGGGTAGCGCATTTCTCATCTTAGCTATTATCATGACAATTACAATATCGAAAATCCTTGGTACGAAAATCGAAGAAGTAAGTGGTTATTGGCGTAGCGTAATCTGCAGTGTTTTTCTCAACACATGCGTAATATACGAATGCGGAATAGGTCTAGTTACGTTAGTAATTATATGCTTAACGTTTCTTGCTGTCAAAAAAAGATTCGATGAGCTGTCATACGTGTTACAGTTTGCAAAAGTTGATTGTCCCAAAGAAGAAATTGATAATTTAATGGCCAAACATGCAGAACTTTGCGATTTTATAGATGATTTTAATGAGAAGGAAAGTGAATACCATTTCTTTATATATGGTACTATTGTTGCGATCGTATCAACTTGCATCTACTCTACTTTATTCGGGATACTTAACACTCAGGTTTTCACAATGACCACAGCTGTTACGATTTTATTAAGTGTAAGCTTGACACTTTACGCATTTGCCATTTCAAGATTAGCAGCATCCGTAAGTATTAGTTTTAATTTATATATTAATTATAAACGGATATAAAAATAAACGATCCTTTATATAAAAAAGTAATATAAAAGAATGGCTTAGTGTCTTAACAGCTTTTCCTGTGTATTTTTTGGAGGTTGTAAATCCCGGAATTTAATGAATATAATTTGTTGATATTATATAATATAATAACAATATTGTGCCTAGGCTTACGATTCATTCCAAGAAATCAGAAGATTAGGAGCTTCTTCTCGACGTTTAGAGGATAAATTAAAGGTAAGATTCTTTAGTATCATTACACAAACGAATATACATATATAATAGAGAATATATTTCTACAGTTGTTGAATTTCATGAAGAAATTTCGTGAGAAAGAAATTGGACTGAATTGTGGAGATTGTTTTATAATGTCGAAAGAATGCCCCGTTAAGGTAAATAATTTAATAGCAATCGTATTATAATTATTATAAGAATTCATCTGATAATATAAATGTAATTTATACAATTTCAGATATTCCAAAGTCTTTACGGTATATTCGACATGCTCTTACAAATTCGTGATATTTTAGCCGGAAAAACAAATAAATGCATCAACTCTAATTATAATGTAACTACAACCGAATCCTTGATTAATCTGTAAAATTATACTTGTGAAATTACTTATATTTTTTAATGTTTAAGAATAAATAGAGCAAGTATTAGAGCCAATTGTCTTCTAACAAGTAAGCTAACGTTCATACGTTTTCCATTATACTAATTTCTTATCCCTGTACGTCGTACATTTACTGATAACAAGAGTCGTGCCAGTGATTATTAAATGGCATCTTTAGTTAATTTTCAAAATTAAATTCCAGATTCTTTATCGATTAAAAAGGTAAAAACTTATTAGAGTAATATTGAAAAGTGCTTTTTAAATATTAAATTATTCGCATAAATTTGTGTGGTTCGTCGTGTATAAAATACCAAGTTAAATTATAAGTAAACATCGATGATTGATCGATGTAGGAATGATCGATGATCTCTCAAGTAATTTCATTAATTGTATTTGTATGTTTACGTTTCTATATTTATGGAACTTAGCTAAAAGCTTTTAATTCACATCTCATCTTATCCAAAATGATTAATGATGATCATTTTTCATATTATATAAACTTAATTCCCCATTGTCATTATTTTAAATGCTTTCAATCTGTTCTCATATTTTAATTGAGATATGCTTGTGTTTCTCGTTAATTTGTGTAATGAATAATTACTTTTAAAAAATTGTAAATGATAATAACGAGTAAAATATTCATTAAGTCCGATCCCACTCGCGTTATGACATATGACTTTCCTCTATATCTCTTCATCCCCATGACCTATAACCCACAAAATTAAACAGTGTCGATCCCCCTGATGCATAAACATCCCTGAAAAATTTCAAAAAATTTCGACGAAAAGTACAGGAGTTATTAAACTTTGAACAGGTTAAACAAAATTTTGCTCCGTCTGTCCTCCTGTTTTTCCTTAATCTCCAGAATGGAGTTAGAAAGTTGAGAATACAGATTTAATTCTTAGATACAGGGGACCGTGATTAATTGTATAAGACCTTTCAATACCAAACGGTAGACACGTTATTTAAATTCCAATATATTCCCCTGAAAGGTGTTAGCTAGATGACCGGCACGACACTTGTTAAAGGAAAAGTATGATTTACAGGGGCGAGCTACTATTAAATTAAGGTGGAGAGCATATATTTTAAATTAAATAAATTAAAAATATGATTAAAACTTACAGCACACAACATAAATAATTTGTCGTTAAAGCAATAAATCTTGTATTTATTACTTGTATTGAAATTTAAAAAAAAAAAAAGTTATTACTTTTTTCTCTTGCGTGTCACTTTTTTTTAACATTACAAATTCATTAGGTCTTTATCTGTCGTTAATCTCCTTTGTGTGTGTGTGTGTTTTTTATTGTTTTCTGCATTTATCAACAATTTTCCAGTAATATTTAACAGTATTCAAGGTGAGTAAACCGGTTAATAGTTGCTTGTTATGTAATTTGTTTCTTACTGATAGAGAAGTCACGTAAACAACATTACCTGTTGAGTCACGTAATTTATACGATAGATTTACACGTTTTCTTCTGTAATATACGAATATTTATCATTATTTTCTTAAAATAACTTATATCTAATGATTTCTGCACATCTATTGCCAGTTTTTCTAATCAAAGGGGATGAAAAATACAATTGTTTATACGTATAAACATAGAAACAATTGCATTTTATACATTGTATTCACAGAGCTGTTTATAGGAGGGTGTATTTTTTAATACCCCTGCAAGAAATTATTGTATGGTTGCAACAGAAGTATTTCAAATATTTTAATGGAAGATATATGACTATTTCTACTATGATATTTCTAGAGATGACACGCGAATATAAAATATGTAAATTATAATATTATTTATATAATAATATTGCATTAAGACGTGAAAGATCTTGACATGTTTTCGTATTCAGCGATGTGTACAATTTTGGCAGTTTCACAAATAGTAATAATTACTTTAATGCTTATAATAAACTGTTATAACAACAACTCCTTGTATTTTTAAAGGAAATTTTCTGTTTAATATAATTATTTGACAATTTAAAAACTTAAAGTCGTTCGTTTTGTCTAATTTATGTTTATAAAACCTAAGTAATTAGGTAAAATTTACTGTCTTTTCAAAATACAAATCTATTTATATACTCAAAATTAAAGCCAAACTTCGATTTTGCTCCATTGTTTAGTACGTAGCCTGTTTCATTTAAAAGGGGTTTGCATAAACAACTATATTGAACCTGCTTTAATACGCGATACTCATATTAATTTGTTATGAAGTATGAAAAGCATAGAGATATCCTTGACACAAAAACAGACTTTTAGTCAAGAATATCGCTTATTTGGGTATTAAGTTTTATATATATTATCTTTCAATCGTTATACGTGTTACCGATACAGATGTTTGGTGTTCGTTATTATTATCTTTATTTCTCATTTGTGTTTAATTTATGCATAAAAATAAGTGTTTTTTTTTCATAATAACAACTGTATACCTACTTTTGTACACTGAATAAAGAAAATAATAGAAAACAATTGATAGGGTGGATCAAACGGAGAATTTCACCTGTTACTCCTACGAACGTTTGTCTTTGAAAAAAAAAGGTCTATTTCGACCTTCCGAGCCAAAATTCGGTCTCGAATAAGCTCTGCCAACAGAAGAAGAACCAATCAGGAATGAGAAGAGATTGAGACCAATCATAGTGTTCGAACTGAGAGACGAAGCATTCAAAAACTCGTGTCCTTGTGACAAGAGTTTTTAAATGTAAGGCCCGAGAAACTCCTATCACAAAGACACGAGATTCTCGGTTGATGACTTGGTACCAGGATCCGTTTTTCTCTTTTTTTTTTCAAGAATTTCGTTCCTGTCTTCGATCTCTTCGTTGGAACCCCTCCCCTTCTATCAACGAGTTGCTTAACATTCCAGGAAACCTGTGATGGCGTGAAGAATGTTTGTCATTTTAATTTGTTTACATTTTTATATTTTTAACTATTAAAAAACGTAAAAAAAAAACTTAATTTTAAAGATAGGGAAGAGTTTTATAACAAAAGTTGTGAATGCTAATAACGAGTAAAATCATTATTAAATCCGACATTAATCCCTTTATCTCTTATTCTCTAGACCATTAACTACTAAAATTTATTAGCATCAATTCCCTAATACACGAAATCACCTCTAAAATTTCAGAATTTTCGACAAAAAGCACAGGAGTTATTAATTTAAGCTTCATTTATGATACTTTTCGTGTCCTTTCGCTACTTCGTGCTGTACATTTGACCTTACTGCATCTCATTTACATAAAATAAAGTAATAAAATAAAGAAATAATTATATAATTAAGTGACTTTTAAAGTATATATATATATATTTTTAAAAAAAACATTTATTAAAACTAATTGTAAAATTGAGACTTAGTTACGCAACAAAGGAACACTTGCAATAAAGAAACTTGCTCTTTGGTAATAAAATAAAAGCTCGACTACTTGTTTTATAATAAAATCTAAAAAAGTTATAAAATAAACAGGTTCTCCATCATCAAATTTATGACATAATTTCAACGTTGTTGGCAAGCTGCTTCCAAATACGAACAAAGAATAATTTTTATTTAACCTTTATATTTAGCCTATATATAACAGAGGGAAGTATGGAGATGGGTCAAAAAGTGACCCCCCCCTCAAAATGTTAACATTTTTGGACTCAGGACACCTTAAAATGTCAAAAAATGCAGAATCATTCGGAGTTTTTATTCATGTATGTATGGACGTTAGCGTGCGTGTGTGGCACGATTTCGTTCGTTTACTTTTAAGCTTAATAACTCTCGTGCTTTTTATCGAAAATTTCTGAAATTTTTCCAGTAGATTTGTGTATTAGTGGGATTGACACTGTTAAATTTTCGTAATTAAATGTCAAAGGGGTGGGGAGATATAAGGGATCGTGCGTCATATCTCGAGTGAGGTCGGACTTAATGACGATTTTACTCGTTATTGTATTTTATTAAAATCCATCCCTACCTTCACAATTAATTCTTTTACCATTTTAAAACAATTAAAACTATAAAAGTTTTAATAATAAAATAACAGATGGCAACACACACATAGTTTTAAATATCGTCGAGGAAGTTAAGCAACTCGATTTTCCTCTTTATTCGTTGCTCATTATTAAGCTCGTATAATACATTTTTATAATATAAAATAATTTAAATTATAATATATTAATGTTTAAAAGTATATAAAGATATACTTTTAATGAGATGTTTTATTGTCACTTTCTGATATATATTATTATGATTCAGAAAGTGATAATAAACACTAAAACATTGTTAAATATATGCTTAGGTATATTATAATAAGTGGTGTGTAGCGTATTATTTATTAAAAAAAATAAATAAATAATAGAAGAGTAATGAATGAGTTTCCTCAGAATGTGATTTATAATCACCTGTTCTGCAGCTTTCTACATTCATATTGTTATACAAAATGACAAGTGTATGTATTACAATATACTTTTTCCTGATAAATATATTTCAATAGTTTATTTTTAGGTGTAAAGCCACAATCTACAATAGTAAATTAACCTCCGATTTAAGATGATTCAGCTGGAACGGTCGTAAGAGCGGGGTTTTACTCGATTGTATTTAAATCAATACACTTATTTCTATAACTGTATTAATTATAACATTATAAAAATTATACTGGAAATATATTAATTGTTAATTTTTATTAATTTCGTAAATATCAGCACAATGAGGTGCCAAGAATCTTATATTATAAAATAATTTCAGTTCAAGGATATAATTTATTCTTCAGTTTATCCTTGACTAAAATTACTTCCTTGTATGAGAAAATATTAATAATAAACTTTCAGAAATTCCCTATAATTCGGGACAACAGGAAATAAATTAATTAAAAAAATTTTAGACTTAAAATTTTCCCACTTTCCTTCGTCTGTCTGTCTGTCTATCTATTGAAAAGCATTTCGACTTTTAGTCCCTCTTCACTCGATTTTTATGATTGTTCTTCCAACATTTATTTATATAAACAATTAATAATTATTATTAAAACAATAAATCTAATTGTTTATATAGATAAACATCAAGAAAACAATCGTAAAAATCGACCGAATAAGTAGAAAAAGTCCGAAATGCGTTTCGTTTTTAAATACGTGTGAATTGTTTATTATTTAAGTCGAGTTAAGCCCATAAATATGTCAACGAATTGATATTAATATTTAAATATTCGCTTTATTATACATTTCATAACACAGAAAATAAAACAACAGCAAAGATATTATATTTTTATTACTAAATTACTAATACATGGTGAACGTTATAAACAAACATTTCCCATAGAATTCTTCATTAATTAAATGATTTTTAGATACAGAAAGATTCATGAATCTAATCAGTTAGGATTTTCAGAATATGGGTGCCACTTCAAAGTGGTTGTGGTACTTCAGAATTACTTAATTGAACTCATGCAATATGTGTTATTATACTTATTTTTTACTAGTAATAAAGATGGCTTTGGTATCAAGGGGTGCCATAAGTATTCCTCCATATAGGACAGTGTAGTGAGTCTTAAATGAAAGCTTTGTTTATTACCATGTTATAATTATAACGATTATCTATATATATTCTTAGTCTAAGGATCAGTTTATTACACTTTCTACCCATTTATGGGCACCTAACATAAAATGGTATTATCTATAATACATTGTAAAGGGCATAGAATGGCCTAAAACGTTTCGAAATTTAAACTTAAAGCGTTGGTTTCCTAAAAGTAACAGTCTAATCTTATTTTAAGTTAGAATAATAAGTTTTTTTTTAAGTTTCTTGATATAAAACTGATATAATTTACAGTGTTTAATCATTTAAAACCTGTTGACAGTGCTAAATTGAATAAGTGCTTTTCTTTCTCTTGAAACTTTTTATGTAATGACAAAACTGTAGAAAGTATGACAGGAATAACGAATAAGGCATGAAATGCAGTTTCTACAGCAATTATAATAACTATTTTTACAAATGTTATAGACAGGAAGAAATTATAGTATAAGAGGATCAACAAACCGATACTTGTAGAAAATGCACCCTGAAATATAGGAAATCCAACGTGATATAAACTATCTTTCAACTTTCCTTTGATCGTTTTATTAGGGGAGGTTACGAAAGAGTAACAAATATGAGTTGGATAATTAACACAAAATCCTATGCAGAGTATAATGCACATTAACGAAACGATATCTAAATTAATCCCCCATAAAGACATAAAACCTATCGTTTGTACTGTGATGGACGAAATACATAAAGAAACAATAAATGCATACAACAAATTAGGAATAAAACATATAAAAATTGCAAGAATTATTACTGAAGTTATCCAAAAGAATTGAAAACTTACAGCTTTAATAATAATTCCCTGCTCTACAAATGGAGATATCATAGTATGGACAATAACAGGGAAAGAAGATTCTTCTGCAATCTTCTGTAAATCGTTAATTATTTTTAATTCGGTAATTCTGTTCGAAACATTTCTTGCTAACAGAAAGAAACGACTACAAATAATTTCTGTATAATTATTATTAAACACGATATCATTCTTATACATTTTAGCTCCTGGAAACTTTAAGTAAATCTTTCTTAAAGCATCGATGAAATCTTGTTTAATAGATAAATCGTATCCCATAAAAGAATATTTCGCTGCTGAATGATGTTGAAAATCTTTGTAATACTTCAACCAAGATATATCCATATCTTCAACGTTCGGATGCGATTCGAATTTTTCTAAAATATCTTCTATTGATTTCTGAACAATAGGATTTGAATAATCCAATGTTTCGTTAATGATTATATGAATACTAAATGGATACTCAGTAAAATATTTATAATATACTCGAAATGCTTGAGTAAATTCGGAATTATCAGGGAAAAATGTGAAGACATTGAAGCCTTCTTTCAATGAGATAATTCCCCATATGCCAAGCGATAGAGTAATGATATACAGTAAAATAATAATTATTTGAATCAAGGAATGAGAGATAAACTCTGCAACTTTATTCTTGAAGAATTTCATAAAGATGTCGTGATGCTCAATATCTTCATTAGTACAGTAATTGATGTTCAAATCTGAAAACGAGAAAATCTTTATTACTTATGAAATTTAAGAATTACAGTAATTGATTGTTGTATCAACACAATATACGTAATAACATCGTCTTACACGTGTTAATAATGTATTGTTTCGTTAGTATTCTAGTGCATTTTAAGGCATACACAATTACCAAAATGACAAGTTCACAGTTAACAGCTAATTCCATAAAATGAGAAGCATGGGTGAGAGATAGATTCTCTGTGTCTTTTTCCCGTATAAGATTTTATGTTATTTAAACTAAACAAACAACACCATTTCTGTTGGTAACCAAATCTATGGACTCTTTACGGTTTATATTGTAATGATTTCATTATCCTTAAATTATCTGTAATTAACTAAAAAACTATCTAACAAAACTATAAGCCTGGTTAAGAATACAATATATTTTTTAAATTTTCACATTTTGTCTTCACATATCTGTGTCCTCCAATCACCAGGAACCAGTCTTGTTTCACAGAGACGACCTTATATTAGAGACCACACAATTATGTAAATACAGTTAAAAACGTTTACTGGACATAAGCCAATAATTAAAAAGTACACGTTAATTAAAGGATGTTTTTAATTGTATTTGCATAATTTTACAAAGGCGTAACCTCTAACAGAAGGTCATATTTGTGAACCAAGACTGTTTGGTTCCTGGTGATTGGACGAGACGGGTATGTGAAACATTTTTAGTGAAACATCTACTGTATTAATAGTAAAGGATCAAGCCACGTTTTACACAGAATCATATTCTCCCCTGTTAACTTAATGCTTCTCAATATTATTGTTACATGTAGTTTCTTTTGTGTAAGATTAACTATCGTAAAGATTTGGAAACAAATTAATTACAGTCGACCCCCCTATAACACTGTTGATAATTCCGTTTTATATGAATTCCATGTTGTACGAGTCATTTAGGTTTTACAAATACGTGTGCCAGGCTATGAACGCTCACGAATTTGTTAAATCTAAGTGACTCATACAACATGGAATTCATATAAAACGGAATTAACAGTGTTATAGGGTGGTCGACTGTATTACTAGCGCTCCTAAAAGGATTAAATAAGTTAAATTTTTAAAAATAGAAACTTCATTACCTTTAACAGGTTTAAATGTAAACGGATGAAGACCGTTTTCTTCTCTATATCCACTCAAAGCTAGACACCCCCCGACAAATGTTAACTGGAAAAAGTACGAAAAACATATGCAAGTGGCAGCATACGCGCAGAAAATTCTAACACCAGGAAATGGAGAATTCATAGCAACACAATAAGAACAGAAATTCGTTAACGATGTTATTGTTATGGATACTGCTGCATTAGAGTAAGTATCTTCCATCCGTTTTTCAACTCTATCGTAGATATTGCTCGTTCGCCAGCAGGCAATTACAACGAACGTATCATCTATTTCAGTTGCTGCAATATAATTTAAACAAATATTAATAAAAGAAAAATTAAATATAATTCTAATATGAAACTTACCTAGAATAACAAAGGGTATGGCAATATTGTAAATAATATTTTCCACTCCACAAGCAAATAATAAACCAAACGAAGCGGTTACAGCCATACCGGTAGAAATGATACTGGCTACACCCATCCAGGGTTTGCTTCTGGTCCAACTGTTAGTCATGTTGCTCAATATGCAGAAGATACAAATTACAATTATTGTGACGCTTATTAATGACTTTGAATTCTGGGTGTTTAACATTGTTTCATATTCGCTCGAACTGAACGGTTCCGAAAAAGTCTCAATATACTTGAAATTGTGTTCCTTTATCAATTTAAAGAGTGCTTCGGTCCACGCTACATTCCATTCTATTTTAGTGCTGTTATTTTCGTCCAATGGATACAATAAACGTAAAGCACTTACTTCTTTAATGTATCCATCAGCATCAAGAGTTACACCTCCTACATTCAGAAACATTATTTTGTATGTGAACGTGAGGGGATCTATATCTATTGGATACTTGATTTTCAATTTTTTAGAAATGACATCATCCAAATTATGCAATAAACCAGAAATCGGATTTTCAAAGCATTTTCCATAAGTCATTCCGCATATGTCTTTGTAACCAATTTGTCTTCCATCAGCGTACACTGTCACGTTTCTTGCAATTTCGTTTAATGACTGAATTTCTAGTAAAATATTCTTCTGTAACATGTTTCTATTATTCTTCTCTTTTATGTAGATTGCGGCTGTTTTAGGACGATGAGTTAATCTTTGGAAATCGTATAATTCCGAAGTGTTAAATGGGAACGTCTTATCTATAAATTGTTTGACTTCGTGTATTTTTCCAGAATCTGGTACTAATAAGTAATTATTATCACCGATAAATTTCGTATTTATCAATCCAATCGACAGTAAAGCACACATAATGCAAGGAACAATGATGAAATAATACGGGTGTTGTCCAATCTTCCTTCCAAGTTTTGCTATGAACGTGCGTAGATATTCACTAATTGATTTGCATTTCTGTCGTTTCTTCATTTTTTTATTAATTATAACTGCAGAAAATAAATTAGCAATTAAATTAATACTATATAATGTGTTTTATTACAAATAAATGTNCGTATCAATAAATACAATTGCGTTAAAGCAATTTTAGTAACGTAATACTTCTTAATTTAAATACATTTATAACAAATTATATGTAAGAATTTTAAGTTTTAATGCGACTATATAATAATTTCTTTTCTAACTTTAGTTAAAAAGATAAATCTTTCATTTAATTTTACTTGTTTTATTCCTATCGATCCTAGAAGTTTTTAAATTATTCTCCCAAATAACATTTATATTACTATAAAAAGAATATATATTTTTCTTACCTTTCTAACTTTAAAAAGCAATAATAAAAATATGAAAGAGTAAGATGTAGATGGGAGCTGATAAACTAAGAGTTATGTTGCCTCTCACCGAAATCTTCTAACTAGTTTCACTCATTTCATCATAGCAAATGCTACTCACATTTCAAGGTAAGTTTGTTTTGCACTTAAGTTCTATTAATAAATCCAATTCTACTTTTTAAAATATAATCGATCTAACAATTCGTTATATAAATTCGATTTTTAAATAAATTTTAATGGATTTTATTAAAATTAAAAATTTCTATCCTAAATAAACACTTAGAGGTTTGTTATTTATTTCCTAATATTTCGAGCCGAAATTAATTTTAATTAAAATTAAGTATAGTAGTGTATAATATAATTTGTTTATTAGGATTAAAGTAAATTTTACCATTTAATAATAATAATAATTTTTTTTAGTAATTAAGAAAACAAATTGACATATTAAATCAAGAAATATTACATTATATTTTAGTAATATCCGATGTGTTTTCTTTGTCAGACGAAAAGTAATAACTTCTATTATTATATAATACATCCATTGACTAAAATAGTTACGCACCTAGACTGATTTTTACAATTACTGCAAGACTTGGCACATCAGACAGGTATGAAAATGATTACAGTTGTCCTTAAAATCGCTATGTCACTATCATAAAAAGGCTTGCAGAGGCTCAACTATATTGAAAATTTTCATTGTTCCAATTGTTTGGAGAATTTCGAACGAATGGCATGCTTGTAACACGCGCTTAAAGTCATCACGTGTAGTTGACGGAGTGTAAGAAAGGCATCATCATCTAGCTGAGGAAACAAGATGGCCGTATAGCTTAATTTCTCGCTATCTGGGCCGTTCTGTACGAGGTATTCGGGAAGTGGATACATTAGGGCACGCACACACCGAGAAATCGTTTGATAATGAAACCAAGCAAGAACAGCTGTAATGGCATCTTTATCCTCCACACAAAGACAGATAAAAGCTTCACCACTCTTGGCATGTAAATAGTAAAGACAAATTTGAATAGGCGACTACATCTGTGCGTTTTGCCATTAAAACCCCGCATCGTTGGCTTTCGTATGCGGTGATGACGCGACACACAAACTGCTAATAGCAACAGCGTATCGTGTTTAGCAATAAATTCAGGTTGTTGGGAACGGAGGTCGTCCGTTCCCAAGAACTGTAAAGAACCACTGGCAAGCATTTTAATCCCGCCTTTACTGTTATCATTACGTAATAAATCTATCCAACGAATTTTTAAATTAAAATACCGTCACTTCATACGTGTATTAGAGGTTCCTATATAATTAATCGTGATTTCCTGCACCTGAAGTTACCATATTTGGTCTTGATATTTATTTATCTAACAACGTTCTCGATATTGAGGAAGGACAGGCGGACAGACGGCCGACAGTGCGAATTTATAGCTCTACAATTTTTTCCAAATTGCAATCCAATAAATCGGACTTATAAAATTTAGAATATAATTTTCTCTGCTAAAAATTATATATAATTTCTAATCATTTTGATAATTATTGATAATGACAATATCGTTCGTATCTCAGCTTTTANCCCATAGAATTCTTCATTAATTAAATGATTTTTAGATACAGAAAGATTCATGAATCTAATCAGTTAGGATTTTCAGAATATGGGTGCCACTTCAAAGTGGTTGTGGTACTTCAGAATTACTTAATTGAACTCATGCAATATGTGTTATTATACTTATTTTTTACTAGTAATAAAGATGGCTTTGGTATCAAGGGGTGCCATAAGTATTCCTCCATATAGGACAGTGTAGTGAGTCTTAAATGAAAGCTTTGTTTATTACCATGTTATAATTATAACGATTATCTATATATATTCTTAGTCTAAGGATCAGTTTATTACACTTTCTACCCATTTATGGGCACCTAACATAAAATGGTATTATCTATAATACATTGTAAAGGGCATAGAATGGCCTAAAACGTTTCGAAATTTAAACTTAAAGCGTTGGTTTCCTAAAAGTAACAGTCTAATCTTATTTTAAGTTAGAATAATAAGTTTTTTTTTAAGTTTCTTGATATAAAACTGATATAATTTACAGTGTTTAATCATTTAAAACCTGTTGACAGTGCTAAATTGAATAAGTGCTTTTCTTTCTCTTGAAACTTTTTATGTAATGACAAAACTGTAGAAAGTATGACAGGAATAACGAATAAGGCATGAAATGCAGTTTCTACAGCAATTATAATAACTATTTTTACAAATGTTATAGACAGGAAGAAATTATAGTATAAGAGGATCAACAAACCGATACTTGTAGAAAATGCACCCTGAAATATAGGAAATCCAACGTGATATAAACTATCTTTCAACTTTCCTTTGATCGTTTTATTAGGGGAGGTTACGAAAGAGTAACAAATATGAGTTGGATAATTAACACAAAATCCTATGCAGAGTATAATGCACATTAACGAAACGATATCTAAATTAATCCCCCATAAAGACATAAAACCTATCGTTTGTACTGTGATGGACGAAATACATAAAGAAACAATAAATGCATACAACAAATTAGGAATAAAACAAATAAAAATTGCAAGAATTATTACTGAAGTTATCCAAAAGAATTGAAAACTTACAGCTTTAATAATAATTCCCTGCTCTACAAATGGAGATATCATAGTATGGACAATAACAGGGAAAGAAGATTCTTCTGCAATCTTCTGTAAATCGTTAATTATTTTTAATTCGGTAATTCTGTTCGAAACATTTCTTGCTAACAGAAAGAAACGACTACAAATAATTTCTGTATAATTATTATTAAACACGATATCATTCTTATACATTTTAGCTCCTGGAAACTTTAAGTAAATCTTTCTTAAAGCATCGATGAAATCTTGTTTAATAGATAAATCGTATCCCATAAAAGAATATTTCGCTGCTGAATGATGTTGAAAATCTTTGTAATACTTCAACCAAGATATATCCATATCTTCAACGTTCGGATGCGATTCGAATTTTTCTAAAATATCTTCTATTGATTTCTGAACAATAGGATTTGAATAATCCAATGTTTCGTTAATGATTATATGAATACTAAATGGATACTCAGTAAAATATTTATAATATACTCGAAATGCTTGAGTAAATTCGGAATTATCAGGGAAAAATGTGAAGACATTGAAGCCTTCTTTCAATGAGATAATTCCCCATATGCCAAGCGATAGAGTAATGATATACAGTAAAATAATAATTATTTGAATCAAGGAATGAGAGATAAACTCTGCAACTTTATTCTTGAAGAATTTCATAAAGATGTCGTGATGCTCAATATCTTCATTAGTACAGTAATTGATGTTCAAATCTGAAAACGAGAAAATCTTTATTACTTATGAAATTTAAGAATTACAGTAATTGATTGTTGTATCAACACAATATACGTAATAACATCGTCTTACACGTGTTAATAATGTATTGTTTCGTTAGTATTCTAGTGCATTTTAAGGCATACACAATTACCAAAATGACAAGTTCACAGTTAACAGCTAATTCCATAAAATGAGAAGCATGGGTGAGAGATAGATTCTCTGTGTCTTTTTCCCGTATAAGATTTTATGTTATTTAAACTAAACAAACAACACCATTTCTGTTGGTAACCAAATCTATGGACTCTTTACGGTTTATATTGTAATGATTTCATTATCCTTAAATTATCTGTAATTAACTAAAAAACTATCTAACAAAACTATAAGCCTGGTTAAGAATACAATATATTTTTTAAATTTTCACATTTTGTCTTCACATATCTGTGTCCTCCAATCACCAGGAACCAGTCTTGTTTCACAGAGACGACCTTATATTAGAGACCACACAATTATGTAAATACAGTTAAAAACGTTTACTGGACATAAGCCAATAATTAAAAAGTACACGTTAATTAAAGGATGTTTTTAATTGTATTTGCATAATTATACAAAGGCGTAACCTCTAACAGAAGGTCATATTTGTGAACCAAGACTGTTTGGTTCCTGGTGATTGGACGAGACGGGTATGTGAAACATTTTTAGTGAAACATCTACTGTATTAATAGTAAAGGATCAAGCCACGTTTTACACAGAATCATATTCTCCCCTGTTAACTTAATGCTTCTCAATATTATTGTTACATGTAGTTTCTTTTGTGTAAGATTAACTATCGTAAAGATTTGGAAACAAATTAATTACAGTCGACCCCCCTATAACACTGTTGATAATTCCGTTTTATATGAATTCCATGTTGTACGAGTCATTTAGGTTTTACAAATACGTGTGCCAGGCTATGAACGCTCACGAATTTGTTAAATCTAAGTGACTCATACAACATGGAATTCATATAAAACGGAATTAACAGTGTTATAGGGTGGTCGACTGTATTACTAGCGCTCCTAAAAGGATTAAATAAGTTAAATTTTTAAAAATAGAAACTTCATTACCTTTAACAGGTTTAAATGTAAACGGATGAAGACCGTTTTCTTCTCTATATCCACTCAAAGCTAGACACCCCCCGACAAATGTTAACTGGAAAAAGTACGAAAAACATATGCAAGTGGCAGCATACGCGCAGAAAATTCTAACACCAGGAAATGGAGAATTCATAGCAACACAATAAGAACAGAAATTCGTTAACGATGTTATTGTTATGGATACTGCTGCATTAGAGTAAGTATCTTCCATCCGTTTTTCAACTCTATCGTAGATATTGCTCGTTCGCCAGCAGGCAATTACAACGAACGTATCATCTATTTCAGTTGCTGCAATATAATTTAAACAAATATTAATAAAAGAAAAATTAAATATAATTCTAATATGAAACTTACCTAGAATAACAAAGGGTATGGCAATATTGTAAATAATATTTTCCACTCCACAAGCAAATAATAAACCAAACGAAGCGGTTACAGCCATACCGGTAGAAATGATACTGGCTACACCCATCCAGGGTTTGCTTCTGGTCCAACTGTTAGTCATGTTGCTCAATATGCAGAAGATACAAATTACAATTATTGTGACGCTTATTAATGACTTTGAATTCTGGGTGTTTAACATTGTTTCATATTCGCTCGAACTGAACGGTTCC